ATAATATATCTATATATATTTCTTTTATTTAATATATATATATGTATTTTTAGAATCTAATTTAATTATTTTAATGTATATTTTATGTATATCAAATACCACAAAGTGTGTTGGAAGACTAAGCTAAAAGTATGATTTTAAGAAGAAGAAAAAGAAAGAAAAATTGTCCAAAAACAGAGCATCCCCCTCTGAAACCAGGAGTGTTTGGGGATGTTTTGTCGGTAGAAAACGCAGCAAAGGGGTCAATTTTAGACCCATTAGCTCAGTGCTGTTTATTGAACTCACTCTGAAGTTCAATACATGGGAAAAAACACCATTTCTTCATAGATTTTAGAGGAAAAAATGACCTGGTTATTACATAAATACCAACTTGTTTTTTTTGTTTCAATATTTTTACCAATGAAGAGAAAATATTCTCCTCACACAGTAATGTGCATTGGGATCTTTTTTTTTTCTCAGAAATATCGATGTCGGGTCCATGAACCCGATTTTTGAAAGAAAATCCAGAAAGCTATCATGAAATGAGCTGCGGGCCTGAGTTGTAAGAGTATGGGGGGAAAGAGCTCCATCAAAAGAAAGGTCGGAGTTTAGAGACGCCGCTTTTCAGCACTTTTTTTAATCAAATCGTAGCCGTCGGCGGAGTTTAATGATGTAATGCGTATCAGGTAGAGAAGCATTTAGAATACAGAAACAGGGGGGAGAGGGCTGAGCTCTACTGTCTCCTGCCTGTTAAAGAACTTAAAGGAGACATATCATACCCTATTTTAACAAGTTAAACTAGTTCCCTGGTGACCTAATGTAATGTCTGTGACAAGCTTTGGTCAAAATCCCATAAGGATGAAGCCCAATAGCAGTTCAGTCCCCCTGCCTAACCCTAACCCTAACCCTAACCCTGCCAAAACAGCCCCGTTCAGAGCGCTCGCTTTGGAGTGCCTGTCTCTTTAAATGCAAATGAGACGCAGGCAATCCACCCACTTCTTCCGGGAGGTGTGCCCACGCCATTTTTTTCACACTTTGCCTGCTGATAGGCCCTCCACAGTCCCAAATGTACATAATCAAATTATTAAAAACTTGGTTTTGCATAATATGTCCCCTTTAACCCTATAATGCCAAATGTATCATATTTGATAGATATGTTTTTTGCATCATTAAGTGGTAAAAGCTCAGATATACCTGATAACAGCCAGTAGAGGACTACACCAAAATAAATTTTTGACTTATTGAACGCTTTTTTTTTTTCTTCATATGTTGTTGAGGAGCTAAAGAAAGACTTCAGACTAAAAAAATCCAATATTCTTCCTATTTTTCTTGGATCAGGCTTTAAAGGGGTTAAAGAACCTAAAGAAACCCGGTTTCTGTGTGAGCTTTATGTTTATGTTTATGCATTTGGCAGAAGCTTTTATCCAAAGCGACTTACAGAGTAGACACAATATTACATTTATCATCACTGTGACAATAACCTATACAGAGGAGAAACTTTATTCTTATTCTTCTTCTCCCACTCCAGGTCTGCGATGACGTGGACGAGTGCAAAGGGCCGGACAACGGAGGCTGTGCGGCTAACTCCATCTGTCACAACTCTGTGGTGAGTTTTCCTCCTCTCCAGGGGGGGAGCTAATTCTCCATGACCGCTCCAGGACGGCCATATAAAGCCTAGGGATGGGGTTCGTTAATATTTATTGATATCGATACTTTTATCGATACTCCTTATCGATCCGAGTCTTTATCGATACCACTATCGATACTTTTCTGTTATGTGGTGGAAAGACGATGCGACAATATTTAGCAAATAAATAATTGTATTTTAAATTAAATGTCATTTTTAATAAATGTTGGCATCAGTAGTTTAATTATATATTGTAAAATAATTAGAGCAATATACAACTGTAGTACTTATGTTTCTCGCCAAAAACTCAATTTCCCTTTTCTTTACGATACACTTGAACGCATCATGATAACCTAATTGTCGTTTTACTGAGCCAATCTTACACATCATCACGCAGCACGTCTGAAACTTTATTTACTTTTCAAGCTAACTAGCTTGTATGCTGCCGATTACAACACGGATTTCACAATTACTATTGTAATAATAAAAAAAAACGACCAGACTCGATAGTGGTAT